CTTGGTGAAGATGTGTGATGCCTGGCTGTGCAGGACTATAGGGGGACCCAAATCTTCAGCAACTCCTAAGAGGGTAGTGCTACATGTGGGGGCTCGTAATTCCGGGATTTCCCTTTAGCAACCTGCTTGCTGCTACCCCTAGCATCCGACAAGCCAAGAAAGTGATATTGCTACAGTCTTTGCAGATAGTAACTATACTGGGCTTAACGGAAGATCTTCCTGCTAATCTAAAGGTGGCTGGTAAAAAGGACTGTGCTTTTTAATAGAAGTCAGAACAATGTGCTTTGCTGTCGCTGTTGCCATTGCCCGGAGCAACCAGAACAGCCCATCAACCTGAATATGTCTTTCGCTGTTCTACAGATGGTCATAACAAAAGACTATGCACTAAATGTACCTGCTATAATCAGTGAAGTGCCTACTATTGTTGTCTGCTTGCTGCTGCCCGGAGCAACCGGAGTGGCTTACCAGTCTACACAAGTCCCTTTGCTGCACTACAGTTGGTTTCTATAAAAGACTATGTATGCTGTATGCCGCTTCCCTGCATGCTGTTGCCCGGAGTAACTGGGGCGACCCTTCAGTGTTCTCAAATCTTTTTACTGCTCAACAGGTGGCTGCTACAAAAGACTTTGCCCTACCAAGCTTATTGTTGCCTGAGTGGGTGGTTTTAAAAGCAGGAAGGCCTAAGGTAACCTACTCTATCTCAGCTCGTAGGCCTGATGGCTCCATCTACTTTGACCCTAAACATACAGCCAGAGCTACAATGAAATGGTTTAGATGAAAGCATATTCATGTGTTAGAATGGCCCAATCAAAGTGAAGACCTAAATCCAATTGAGAAACTGTGGCAAGACTCCCAGATGCTTTCCATCCAATCTGACAGAGCTTGAGATATTTTGCAAAGAAGAATGGGCAAAAATGTCCCTCTCTAGATGTGCAAAGCTGGTAGAGACATCCCCAAAAAGACTTGCAGCTGTAATTGCAGTGAAAGGTGGTTCTTCAAAGTATTGATTCAGGGGGGCTGAATACAAATGCACGCCACAATTTTTAGATATTTATTTGTAAAAAATGTTGAAAACCATTTATCATTTTCTTTCCACTTCACAATTATGTTCCACTTTGTGTTGGTCTATCACATAAAATCCCAATAAAATACATTTACGTTTTTGGTTGTAACATGACAAAATGTGGAAAATTTCAAGGAGTATGAATACTTTTTCAAGACACTGTATAAGCTACCCAGTCCCAAACACTACTATTTAAAAGGGGATTCCTACTGCAGTTGTGTTTATTGAGTTTTTTTCATATGGACTAAGCCTGACTTTATTGTGTTTGCTTCCAGATTGGCTGGTCGGGGAGTGTCTTGAGAAACCACTTAGTCTTTGGTGACTTTTCGGAGGGGCTCCTCCTCAACTAATGTTGCTACATTATGTAGTTAGCTAGCTAGTGCTAGGACTGCATATTTTCCCTGCTTTCTTATCTACTGTTGTGCAGGTCCCAGGATGGCAGTCTCCCCCGGATACAGAACTGAGAAGAAGACTTCTGCACTACATGAAGGATTTCCCTTGAGGGGGAGGTACTTCATGTATTTGTTTGACATTATATGTTGTTGTTTATATATTGATGTATATTGTTTATTTCCCTGTTAGTGATCAGCTAGACATAGTCAGGGTGTATACAGTTGCAAGAAAAAGTATGTGAACCCCTTGGGATTACGTGGAGTTTTGCATGAATTGGGCATAAAATGTGCTCTGAACGTCATCTAAGTCACAACAATAGAAGAACACAGTCTGCTGAACATAATACTACACAAACATTAGATGTTGCCATGGTTTAATTGCACATAACATGTAAACATTCACAGTGCAGGGAGGAAAAAGTATGTGAGGCCCTAGCTTAATGACTTCTCCCAGAGCTAATTGGAGCCAGGAGTGAGCCAACCTTGACTCCAATCAGTGTGATGATATTGGATGTGTTGCTGACAGCTGTCCTGCCCTTAAAAAACACACACCTGTTTTGGGTTTACTGGTTTCAAGAAGCACTGTCTGATGTGAACCATGCCTCGCAGAAAAGAGCTCTCAGAAGACCTACGATCAAGAATTGTTGACTTGCATGAAGCTGGAAAGGGTTACAAAAGTATCTCCAAAAGCCTTGATGTTCATGTGTCCACGGTAAGACAGACTGTCTACAAATGAAGAAAGTTTAGCACTGTTGCTACTCTCGCTAGGCGTGGTCCTCCTGTAAAAATGACTGCAAGAGCACAGCGCAGAATGCTGCATGAGGTAAAGAAGAATCCCAGAGTGTCAGCTAAAGACCTACAGAAATCTCTGGCACATGCTAACAATTTTGTTGACACATCTACAATAAGGAAAACATTAAACAAGAATGGAGTACATGGGAGGACACCACGGAGGAAGCCATTGCTGTCCAAAAAGAATATTGCAGCACGTTTGAAGTTTGCAAAAGAGCACCTGGATGTTCCACAGCACTACTGGCAGAATATACTGTGGACAGATGGAACCAAGATTGAGTTGTTTGGGAAGAACACACAACACTATGTGTGGAGAAAAAAAGGCACAGCACACCAACATCAAAACCTCATCCCCAGTGTAAAACATGGCGGAGGGAGCATCATGGTTTGGGGCTGCTTTGCTGCCTCAGGGCCTGGACGGATTGTTGTCATTGATGGGAAAATGAATTCCAGAGTTTATCAAGACATTTTGCAGGAAAACGTACGACCATCTGTCCACCAACTGAAGCTTCGCAGAGGATGGGTGATGCAACAGGACAATGACCCAAAGCATACAAGTAATTCAACAAAACAATGGCTGCAACAGCACAGAATATGCCTTCTGGAGTGGCCCAGTCAGAGTCCTGACCTCAACCCGATTGAAATGCTGTGGCATGACTTTAAGAGAGCGATTCACACCAGACATCCCAAGAATATTGCTACACTGAAACAGTTTTGTGAAGAGGAGCTGTCCAAAATGACTCCAGATCGTTGTGCAGGTCTGATCTGCAACTACAGGAAACGTTTGGTTGAGGTTATTGCTGCCAAAGGAGGGTCAACCAGTTATTAAGTCCAAAGGTTCACATACTTTTTCCTCCCTGCACTGTGAATGTTTACATGTTATGTGCAATTAAACCATGGCAACATCTAATGTTTGTGTAGTATTATGTTCAGCAGACTGTGTTCTTCTATTGTTGTGACTTAGATGACGTTCAGAGCACATTTTATGCCCAATTCATGCAAAACTCCACGTAATCCCAAGGGGTTCACATACTTTTTCTTGCAACTGTATATGTTCTTCATGTAAAACTGTACATATGCAAAATTTTAGATTTTGATACAAATATTTATTTGTTCATACTTTTCCCCCTTTACCAGTTTTGTACCCCTTTTCAGTTTTTATGTGTGGGATACCCAGCCAATGAGAATGTGGCTGTGCTTTTAGCGGGGGGCCTCCTAGGTAGCTAAACTCCAATGGTTAGACAGGGGGTGAGCAGAAGCCCAGGCGTAATAGCCAGAGAGGGGTCAAATTGTGGTCAGGGCTGAGAGGCTCTGAAGGCCAGCCCCTCCGCAATTCCCCCCTGCTCTAGAGCTTTGGAGGAAGGCCTAGAGACAGTGGATGGATCTGAAGAGTAGTTGTCCTGTACTCTTGAGGGAACCTGGTTGATCCTCAACAGGAGGTTTGAAAGGGGCCAGGACAACCCATAAAAGAAGAGTCTGCTCAGTAGCAGGAGAGTGTAGGTGGAAGATGGAGAAGTAAGGCTGAGATAAAGGAGCCTGGGAGGGAGCCCAGGCTGGAAGGGGCTCACCTCCAGGCAGAGAAACCTTGAAAGGAAGAAAGCTGTGGACTTCACTGGCCCCCTTAAAGAGGACCACCTGGCAGCAGTAGCCACCTTCCCAACAGTAGCACAGGAGACGGACTCAGTGAGTACACCTACACCCCCTGGGCCAGAGAGGGGAGAAAGCATTTGGGTGGGAACTCACTCTGCAGCTGGGACTATTGCCCTCTAGTAGTGACTACTGGATCCCCTGTCCAGGGATTTCGCCATACAGCCGGATTGAGGAGTATCTGGGGTTGGAGAGGTACATTTTTGCGTTGCTGGCTAGTTCTCCAGAAGAGGATTTTTGTGTGTATAAAGACTTGTAATATAGTTCAGGAAGTTTGTCCTCAGTTGCCATTCCCTTGTGCATCCCATATATACCCCTTACCCCATCCAAGTTTTACATCCATAATAAAACTTCAAAACAAAGCTCAAGGTCTGGTTTTCTGTCTGCTGGTGCAAGTTATGGTGAAGATGTGCGATGCTTGGCTGTGCAGGACTATAGGGGGACCCAAATCTTTAGCAATTCCTAAGGGGGTAGTGCTACATATACAGTATTTTTCGCTCCATAAGACGCACTTTTCCCCCCCCCAAAAAAGGGGGGAAAATGTCAGTGCGTCTTATGGAGTGAATATGGAGCAGCTGGTCCGGTATTTCCGCCGCCGACATGGTGTCAGAATAACGGGCCAGCCGCTCGGCTCTTCTCTGCAGCAGGACCTTACCTGTTCTTTGGTCCAATGCTGTACAGTCTTCCCACGTCGGCATCTTTAGTGTGGGCATCCGGCTGTGACAGCCGGGTGCCCACTGCGCATGCGCGAGAAGCGCTGCGCTTTGTGAATGGCCCGGCGTCTTTTGGGACCTATCATGTGTCCCTGAAGACGCCGTGCCATTCACAAAGCGCAGCGCTTCTCGCACATGCGCAGTGGGCACCCGGCTGTCACAGCCGGGTCCCCACACTAAAGGGAGGATAACTCAGCGGAAGTTGGAGCGGGTACCTGTCAAATTCAGGTACCTGCTCCCCCTCCCTCCCCAAAGGTCCACAGTCTCTGGTCATCTCCTGTACTATCTGCAGTCTCTTGGTCATCACCTGTACTTTCTGCAGTCTCTTGTCATCTCCTCTACTGTCCGCAGTCTCTGGTCATCTCCTGTACTGTCTGCAGTCTCTGGTCATCTCCTGTACTGTGTCCACAGTCTCTGGTCATCTCCTGTACTGTGTCCGCAGTCTCTGGTCATCTCCTGTACTGTCTGCAGTCTCTGGTCATCTCCTGTACTGTGTCCACAGTCTCTGGTCATCTCCTGTACTGTGTCCGCAGTCTCTGGTCATCCTATACTGTGTCCGCAGTCTCTGGTCATCTATACTGTGTCCGCAGTCTCTGGTCATCTCCTGTACTGTCTGCAGTCTCTGGTCATCTCCTGTACTGTGTCCGCAGTCTCTGGTCATCCCTGTACTGTCCGCAGTCTCTGGTCATCCCTGTACTGTGTCCGCAGCCTCTGGTCATCTCCTGTACTGTGTCCGCAGCCTCTGGTCATCTCCTGTACTGTGTCCGCAGCCTCTGGTCATCTCCTGTACTGTGCCCGCAGTCTCTGGTCATCTGTACTGTGCCCGCAGTCTCTGGTCATCTGTACTGTGCCCGCAGTCTCTGGTCATCTGTGCTGTATCTGCAGTCTCTGGTCATCTCCTGTACTATGTCTGTAGTCTCTGGTCATCTCCTGTACTATGTCCGCAGTCTCTGGTCATCCCCTGTACTGTCTGCAGTCTCTGGTCATCCTCTGTACTATGTCTGCAGTCCATTGGTTCAGAATATTTTTTTTCTTGTTTTTCTCCTCTAAAACCGAGGCACGTCTTATGGTCAGGTGCGTCTTATGGAGCGAAAAATACGGTACATGAACATAATTGATAACATAAAAACTACTACTAAGTTTCTTGTAAATCAAAAACTATTGTAAAGCTACACTACATTTGGAATGATGCTGTATGTTATCTATTTTATCATCTGTCATACATTTTTTAACCAAACTAAGAAAATTCCTCTTATTAGTATACTTTATTTATTTCAGGTACATATATAGCGCTGTCAATTTACACAGCGCTTTACATATACAGTTGTGTTCAAAATAATAGCAGTGTGTTGAAAAAAGTGAATAAATCTCAAAATCCTTCTAATAGCTTTTATTTCCATACACACAAATGCATTGGGAACACAACACATTCTATTCCAAATCAAAACATGATGAAAAATATATCAAATTTGTGTTGTTCCTCTAAACAAATTGAAGAAAAGTGAATATTAGACTGTTCAAAAAAATAGCAGTGTTTGTATTCTTCTTTACAAACTCAAACATTCACTATATAAACTGAAAAATGTTTGAAGATTTTGCTTTCCTTTGAATCACTTCATTAATATTTAGTTGTATAAACACTGTTTCTGAGAACTGCTGTACATCTGTGTTGCATGGAGTCAACCAACTCTGGCACCTGTGAACAGGTATTCCAGCCCAGGATGATTAGACTACATTCCACAGTTCTTCTCTAATTCTTGGTTTTGCCTCAGAAACTGCATTTTTGATGTCACCCCACAAGTTTTCTATTGGATTAAGATCCGGGGATTGGGCTGGCCACTCCATAACGTCAATCTTGTTGGTCTGGAACCAAGATGTTGCACGTTTACTGGTGTGTTTGGGGTCGTTGTCTTGTTGGAACACCCATTTCAAGGGCATTTCCTCTTCAGCATAAGGCAGCATGACCTCTTCAAGTATTCTGATGTATTCAAACTGATCCATGATCCCTGGTATGCGATAAATAGGCCCAACACCATAGTATGAGAAACATCCCCATATCATGATGTTTGCGCAACCATGCTTCACTGTCTTCACAGTGTACTGTGGCTTGAATTCAGTGTTTGGAGGCCGTCTGACAAACTGTCTCTGGCCACTAGACCCAAAAAGAACAATCTTACTTTCATCAGTCCACAAAACGTTGCACCATTTCTCTTCAATGTGCTCTTTGGCAAATTGTAACCTCTTCAGCGCGTCTTTTTTTTTTTTACAGTGGGACTTTGCGGGGGCTTCTTGCAGATAGCTTGGCTTCACATAGGCGTCTTCTAATTGTAACAGTACTCACAGGTAACTTTAGACCTTCTTTGATCTTCCTGGAGCTGATTGTTGGCTGAGTCCTTGCCATTTTGGCTATTCTTCTATCCATTCGAATGGTAGTTTTTCGCTTTCTTCCACGTCTTTAAAGTTTTGGTTGCCATTTTAAAGCATTTGCGATCATTTTAGCTGAGCAGCCTATCATTTTCTGCACTTCTTTATATGTTTTCCCCTCTTCAATCAACATTTTAATCAAGGTACGTTGTTCTTCTGAACAATGTCTGGAACAACCCATTTTCCTCAGAATTTCAGAGAGAAATGCACTGTAACCAGCATGTACAACATTTGCTGCCTTCCTTCCTTAAAGAAGGGCAATAATTGCCACCTGTTTTTCAAAGAATGAATGACCTCACTAATAGAACTCCACACTGCTATTATATTTTGAACATGCCCCTTTCAATTAGTGATTCAATTACACAGAATCAGCAGCATGCATGTCATGACTGTTGGATCTTTTGGATTTCTATTACTCTATTACACCTGCTAGTAAATTATTTGCCATGTAGAAATATCATTTCTACCAAAAACAGTGATTGATCAGGTTAGTGATGTCTGACTGCTTTATTTTGAACACAACTGTATGTTGTACATTCACATCAGTCCCTAACCCTCAAGGGGCGTACAGTCTAAGGTCCCTAACTTACATTCATACATACACATACTAGGGACAATTTAGACAGGAGCCAATTAACCTACCAGCATGTCTTTGGTTTGAGTTGTCTGAAATTATTGCACTATATTTACATATCTGAAAGGTTAAACATAAGAACCTGGATGTAATAAAGTTTAACCCTTTATTGCAGTTGTATACAGGTGGCCAGCGGACGCTCACCAGTCCTTTGTAAGCAGAAACGTTTCATTCAAGTGCCAAGCAAAAGGGTTCCTCTCTCCCTTTCTGGTGGTGTCCTCAGTGTCCAGATCTTTAACTACATAGCAGACTCCCTGCAGTCCAGGTTGCACGCCAAGGCTCTGGAATAGCGTCTGTTCTGCATCCACTGCTTTCATGTGAGTTGCAGTCTCAGTTCTGGTCTCCCTGGCAAAAAAAAAGAAAAGAAAAAAATATATCTCCACTCAGGACCACCAATCCAGCTTCTTGTTTGCACTTGCCTGGTGGACACATGCTGCCTCAGCTCTGTCCTCCTTTGCATGGCCTTTGCAGTGACTTAAAGCAGCATAGTGCAATTGTACATCCTAATGCAGTGCTCTGACGACATGTACTGATATATTCAGGCATACAGCCAGTTCCAGATGTGTGCTTTGTTGCTATCTCATTATAATGTAAGGTCCAGTATAATGAATGGGAACCAAAATGAACAAAAAGTAACAGAGCTGTTGTAAAACAGACATCAATTTTGCTTGAGAGTTTGAGTGAGAGTTTCCTGTACATCATGCAGCACGTGCTCAGCCCCTAGAATCAAGTCAAATGGACCTCTTAAGTGTTGATTTAGTAAACGACCCCTGCAATTCGGCATAATTATGCCCATTGGATGGAGGACGTGGTTACTCATCTACTCAGTGTGATAATTAGCCTCTTCAGGATGTGCTGGGAGAGGATATTTCCTTAGAGATCCCGGAGGCAGAGGGGGGATGATTACAATGAATAAGGTTCTTTAACAATGAAAAGCAATCACAGGGAACCCTCGGCATTTATGCCGACCTTGGATTTTTTTAACCCCGTGAGGGACGGAAAAAAACTTGAGCATCATAACCTATTTAAAAGCACTGCTTGAAATCAAGAAAGTGAGCATTCATTCCTATCCATTGACTAGCACCATAGAAGGGGCTGAGCTTCAAACGTGCAATCATCAGAACTAGAGGCTAGTAGAAGAATGCAAACAATGCTGCAGGCCTAAGAGCATGATCTAGGTAAGTATAGGGATTTGAGGAAGAAGGGTGAGCTACATCTGCTTAGGGGCAGTGGGTGCAAAATGGTAAGGAAACTTTTTGGGGAAGTTTCCTTACCCTTGATGCAGACTCTACCTGACTTGTTGATTTAGTCAGTTTCACCTTAAAGCGAAACTTCACCCTAAAGCCATCCTCCTCTGTTTTTTGGCTTTTTTGGGGGGTTAACATAGTTTCCAACATTTAAAAAAAATTTTAGGGACACTTTTTTTTCCTGTATGTCCAGAAAGACGGTGTAGGCAGAGCAGTATGTTAATCAGGGCTGGGGCATTCAATCATGGGTGTGACATAATGCACCAAAAATGGGTGTGGTTCAGGGGCAGATTGACAACTCATGGGGCCCCCCGGGCAATAGGAGATCATGGGGCCCCTGTGTCCTTGCCCAAACTCAAAAAAGCCTATGAAAAAGTACCAGGGGCATCTCATGGGGCCCCCTACTGACCCTGGTCCCTCGGGCAGTGCCTGAGTTTTCAAATGGTCAGTCTGCCCCTGGTGTGGTTTAAATGACACTAAATATTGGGCATGGCTTAAAGGACGTGTGGTTAAGCTTCTCTTGGGCTCCCCCCCATGCAATTTTGCTCTCCACCCCAACATCCCAAAAAACAAATAGACAAATCATAGACTTATCTAGAAAAACTTAATGTAAACATAAAGAACTGGTTCACACTAACTGATTGGTGGTATAGAGGTTACAGCACATCATTACCGCTCACTGATTGGTTTCTGTAGTTAGTACAGGACTATGGTCTGAGACTGCCAACATAGTACAGGAGTTGGTCAGGGACTGCAGACATAGTACAGGACTATGGTCTGAGACTGCAGGCGTAGTACAGGAGTTGGTCAGGGACTGCAGGCGTAGTACAAGAGAGGGTGAGAGGCTGCAGGCGTGTACAGGTGAGGTCAGAGGCTGCAGGTGTAGTACAGGAGAGGTCAGAGGCTGCAGGTGTAGTACAGGAGAGCATCATAGGCTGGAAGCGTAGTACAGGAGAGAGTCAGAGGCTTTTCGCTGCGAGGCAAACAAGGGTGTTGGCAAACAAAGGCAGTTTTCGGGGGGGGGGGGGCACACCACCCCCAGGCAAGAAGGGACAAGGGATCAGGGCTTCTCTCCCCCCCCCTCTCTCTCCCCCCCTTCTCTCTCTTCCCCCCTCTCTCTCTTCCCCCCCTCACTCTACTCTTTCTCTGTCTCCCCCCCTCTCTCTCTTCTCCCCCCTCACTCTACCTTTTTCTCGTCTCTCCCCTCTCTCTCCCTCTCTCTCCTCTCTCTCTCTCTTCCCTCTCTTTCTTCTCCACCCCCCCCCTCTTCTCCTCCCCTCTCTCTTCTCACCCTCTCTCTAGCTCTCTCTCTTCCCCCCCCTCTCTCTCTCCCTCTCTCTCTTTTCTTCTCTCTCTCTCTTCTCCCTCTCTCTCTTCTGCCTCTTCTCCTCTCTCTCTCCCTCTCTCTGTTCTCCTCACTCTCGCTCTCTCTCTGCTCCTCTCTCTCTTCCTCTCTCTTTTCCTTTTTATCTTTCTCTCTCTCATTTTGCACAAGATAAAGGTAATCTGGAGCTAGCAAGTCGCTGGATTACTTTTACAGGTGGCGGAAGGGCATTTCTCCCCTTCTTGCCACTGATGCCTTTACCAAGCTCTACCATGCAGCCCCAATGCAAATGATCAGAATGATCTGTGTCTGATCGCATGCATTGGGAGGTCAG